TACTGCTGATTCACTCCACGGCAACTCCCTTTCCCCTTTGTCTGCACCTACTGATGGAATTTCTAGTAGTCCGAAGGTGGAAAAGACTGTTGACGACAGCGTGAAACCTGAAGGTAAGGTTAGTAGCGTTTCCGGAGGAAATGTAGCCCAAAAGGTGAACCAGCCTCATAATAAAGACGAGGATTTACCCGCTACAGGTGGCACCCACATCCAAGCCCCAGTCCAAGGTGTACGTCAGGACATGCAAGGAGAAGCACCCTGGGAGCCTTACACGCCCCAACTTAACACTGATATTGGGAAAACCCCATCGGGGACCAGCACCCTTGACGAATCCCACTCGGCAACAAAGTCAGTCAAGAAGGAAGGTGAGTCACCCCTTGAAACGCATGATTCGGCCACTACCACGTCGAATAAGTCACCGGAAGCCCTGAAGGACACACTGGCCCAAATGGAGGAACTTAATATTGGTCATAGTGTGAGTCCGGAAGCTAATCATCTAGGAGAAAAAATTAGAGCTTCAAAGGCCAATAACAAAGATGAAAGCATTGCTTTCAAGGATGTTATTGAGGAAACCGCCGATGGCACCAAGAATACACACGGTCGAAATATGGCAACACCCGAACAAGCCAGCTCAGATACGAGCTACCCTTCGGCTCGCCCCATCAATATCCAATCTAGCTTAGGGGCGCTTAATGTAGATGAGTTGAACCTACTCAAGAGCAAAGAAATCTTGACCGAGAAGGATCAGCATGTATCGTTTAACTTTAGGCGGGTGGAGGAACTGGGCATCCTGCAACCAGGGGTCATCAGAGACAACGGCGGATTACCTGAGGAGAATTGGGACCAGATACCTCTGAAGGGAAGTGACCACAAGTTGAGCTATTTAGTTCAAAACTCGAAGGGTGGTTACGTGTACAACCTGCGCCATTTGGTTGAGGTTATACGTGAAGTCGAGGGTGCCAACTCAGTCGAATCTAATACCATGGGCCATACCTCCGCTGTAGAGGTTCAATCATCGACGACGGGCGACAAGGTTGTAGAGGATAAGGCTAACGCGGTCAAGGAAAAGGACGGGGTTACAGGGGTCGAGAATAGCGATAAGGTTGACGCAGTGAAGGAAAAGAACGAAGTTACAGGAGTCCAGAATAGCGATAAGGTTGGATCAACCAAGAAGGAAACGGTTGAACCAGTCAAGCAGGACGTATCCAGCTCGAAATCTATGCAAGTTGTGCAAAATCCTAGTCACCCTGGTACTGAAGCAAAACCGAACCACTCGGCAGCAAATGTTTTAGAGCCTCATGATCATATTGGCACCAAGGCTGATTCGAGCCCCTCGGTGATGAATATTTCACCTTTCAGTGATGATAAACAGGCTACCGTGATATTCGAGGAACTCGGCAAAGTTTTACTTGCGCTCAGGGTATATGGCTAGTTTTTTTCGATTTTGCTGCTATAAATCCGCCAGGGTTGAATAGGCCACGCACAAGAATTCTATTAGCGAAATAATGATTGTCACTTTTCTTGCTCCAAATTGCTGTACCGAAGAAAGTAATTACACGTTTGAAACAGATGCTCCGAAATTTTAATTCGTCTATGTTTTCCTCGTCAAGAGTACGTGTGTAGACATACTCACTTTCTTTAATAAATGAACATATCCTCGTTTTATAGGTTGTTATGGTATCCATATTCGTGACTGATGTTGCCAGCTTGGCCATACGATTATACTTTTCTGCTGATGCCGTCCTTACTGTCAGTAACAGCATTGTTTTCATTTTATTTTTAAATTGTCCGAATTTATATCGCCCTGTGCCTCACCTCTAGTCAACATTCGCTCCATGATAGTAAAGTAAACACTGACTCCCGGTTGTGGGAGTTGACATACGTAGATTATACTTATTCTTCGGAAGTGCCAAAATAGTACTGTATGCCAAATGCTGTCGGTAAACCGTTGGTGGCTGGCTATCATAGAGCTGAATTTAGCAGTGTACAAATAAGAATGTTATGGCACCTAGTACGGTATTCATTAAACTGTGACGAAAACGAAAAGTGTCTCAAAGCTGATGGAAGCAAGTAACTACGAAATCATCGCCCCTTTGCATTCGAAAAAAAAAGCGAGAAAGATATTGAGATACAGGGAGTCGATCAATCTAAGCCCTGATGCACTGTTAAATGATGATTAGGGAGTAGAAGAAATCAGTCAAGGCAATACACACCGCTCGGTAGGTAAGAGAAGCAGTTGGGATAAAATGGATAAAAGGTAACAATATACATACACCGATAGGGATTAAGTGTGATAATAAAAAGGCTAAAGTACTACGGTTGACTTGACCAGGACTACGACTCCATGGATACTGGGGGGTTCTTAGGGGAAGACTGCGAGTCTGATGGCGAAGAATGGTACGCAAAAGTCTCAGTAGCCCAGACAGGAGAAATGTGGGGGTTTAACTCCGACCGAAGAGTAGTGGTAGGTCCTAGTAAATTTCGACCAACCCGATGTTGGCCATTAGGGGTTTGGTGCCGCTGGCCACGCACAGCGTGACTTGACGAGTACATCGGGGAACGACTTTCGGCTGAAGTGGCCTGTTGGTTGGAAATTTTGTTCCGTTTAGAGGCTACCTCCTGGGCGGCAGGACCTGTCACGTAGGTAGTGGTCACCCTTTGGATGGGACTCGAAGGAGTGCTGGAGCCGCCCAACGGCGCCATTTCTGTGGATGCAGGTTCATCTTCACTCATATGTGATGCCGTATCGTTTACGTTGAACCCGAAATCACGTATACGCTGACGCAGATTTTCAGCGTTGTGGTGGATTTCTTGGAATACGTTTTGCACATTACCCAGCATGATATGGGACTCGGTTGCAAAATTGAGTACCTTGCGGGCGTTCGCCTCCGAATGAGCCCGAGGGTCAGCACGTAATCTTGGCGAGGCACCCGCTATGGAACTAGTAAGTGATGGAGAAAGAGAAGGTGAAGAAAATGCGGGGGAAGCGGAGCCCGACCGGGAACCCCCTGGTATGCCATGTGGGTCAATGGTGGCCCAACGGTTGGGTAGTCCCATAATAAGGTTACGCACATGCCGCCTTGCCTCTATGGGAAGGGCGGCACCGGCGTACTGACTCACGATCCCAATGACCTTTTTCAAGGTCACCACTATGTCACGCTTAGTCTTGACCAGCTTGGCCATGAGGGGAGACCATGCGGGTTTACCTACCGCACCACGCGGGACATTATCAGTGGGTGCTACAGGCTCATGGCTTTCCAGGGTATTTCGTTGTAGCCCTTGAATAACTTCGCGAAGAGCGTCAATCTGGGCTCGTATGTGATTGGCCGCATAGTGTAACCAGTCCAAACAGTACTTTATACGTCGTAGACTCTCCTCACTAAACACGACCGCTCCCGTTCCGGCTCCCACCAACATTTGTTGCCACCAACTGCGTTGTTCGGGATGGTAAATTTTACCATCGTCCTTCCCTGGTTCGGGGGCCATCACGGAAGTAGAAGCTAACACTGTAGCAGCCTCCTGGTCTTCTTGATCCCGGTGAAAATGCGTGCGCTTCCGCAGTGAAGTGACATCCCGAGTAGTAGCTGTCGCTGTCATGGAGGGTGAGCGGTGTGAACACCCCCTAGACTGCTCACTGGTACTGGGTTCCAAGTCGGTAGAGGAAGCACCAACGGTCTGTGGCATATAGTGATGTTCAATTTTATCCAACTGTTTGCAAGCAAAGTCATCCAAATCCACAAGGTTGGATTCGAAACGACTACGGACGGGGCGCCAAATAGTCCGAACCGAACTTTCTACGGTTTCTGCGCCATATTTTACCATCCGAGAATTCGCCTTTGAACTCTGGTACAACCGCAGTGCCGAATTGACAAGTGGGTAACTGGACACCCGGGTCATAAAGTCGTCCCCCGGGGATGGCAGGGGTGTAGTGCTCAACTGGCCCAGTGCCTCGGCTGCTAAATGTTCGTCGGACGGGGTAACCGCGGGATTGGTCGATACTTGTGAGGTATTTTCTGTTGAATCAGCGTGACATAAATTCCGAACGGACAATGCAGTCGTAGTGCTTGCAGCTTTGGTATCCGGCGTAGGATGTGCTACGTCTGGAGGTACGGATTCGGTGGCACATGGGACAGTAGAAAACTGGCAGGTGGAGCTTCTAGACTCTGGAACGGTCATGGTGTAGAGCTGAAGTGGAGAGCGACAGGGCTGTGCGTCTTCGCTACCTGGCTTCAAACTTCTGGAATCGGCCGCTGCTTCTCTGGTAGAGGAAGACCGGGAAGCCATTGGAGTGGATTAACCAGTGTCTGCGAGAGACTAGTGTAATAAAAGTGGGAATAGTAGTAACAAGGTGTAAATAGTAGGCCTCTGACTATTTATAACCCCCCAAGTAGTCGGGGATAAAGATGAATAGCACCTGAATGACCAACGTAAACTGAAAATGGGACTAATAGTACTCAAGAAAAAAAACATCAGCCAAGTTAAAGAGTAGCGGTGGAAGCTCAGGTGAATGGTTCCCACTGATAATGGGTGGTGATAATAAGGGGGCGCAGTTGCAGTTCCCAACTGATAGATGCACACGATAATGTAAAGGGTGGTGGAACAGCAAGAAACGCTACAGTGACCATTCTTTAATTGATTTATTTTTCCTCTAAAGAAGAATGTATGAAGTTACAAAATAACAATTTAGAGTCGGATAATGGAGTGGCTTACAGCAACAGTTTTTTTTACATTGTCAACATCAATCACAATACAACGCCAATACCAAAGCTATTGACATGTGATCTCATCAATGTTCACTTTCAGTCAAGGATTTCATCACCAACCAATATTTTCCTGTAACATCCCATTATTGCAGGCCGTGAAATAGTATATTTTACAGTCACTTTTCTCAGCCAATCCTGTCACCCTTTCCTTAAATTCACGTGAATATTCCTCTTTTTTTTTATTTTACTTGGCTTCAACAGTCGGAAAAAAAATTACAGAAAAAATAATAAAAATAGCGCCCGATGTGGGGCTCGAACCCACGACATTAAGGTTAAAAGCCTCACGCTCTACCAGCTGAGCTAACCGGGCCTCGATGAAAACCATTGACATCTAAGAAATGTATGAGTAAAAAACAGATTTGACTGACTCCTTTCATCAAACAGCGATGTAAATTTGGGCCAAGATTTATCACCTAGGCGATTAAACCAGATTAAAATGAAACTCAGCTTAGGTTCTTCGGGTAGAGAGGGGCATGTATTGTAATCATATAGGGTACATGGTATTCGGATAAAGGTATCATAGTTATTGATGATAGGCATATTTATTCACATTGAAAAATTTTGTCAAGTGTAGGGTCATTTAGTGGTGTTAACGCTTTTCCTCTCCATTTCCCTATATATACATGTATGCTGTCATAGTTGGTGACCACAGAAGGAGAGAGGACTCGTTATTCCGGTATTGGTAAATTCTATTATTTTTTCATAAGAATTTGAAAAAGAATGTGTATCATTTGAACATGG